CTCCAATCTTTCTTCAACTTTGTATACTGACTCATCTATATGTTTTCAATGAATCTTAACCATACCCATTGAAAAATATATTTTTTTGCTTAGATTTTTGGAATCTTGTATGTATATATTTTTGTATTTTCACCTCCTTATTTGCTACCTTATCAGTGAAATTTTCTTTCCATTTTAGCATCTAATGTTGCTAGTCACATTTAAGAATATGGAAGGAGATTTTTGCGTGTGATTCTTGCAAAAAGAAAGAACTTTACTTGTTTGGGTTTTTAATTTTTATATGTGCTTGGTTAGTTTTGGTAAGTTTATAATTAATGGCTAGAGGTTGGTAAGTTGAAACTGTTTGGGATATTTCTATAAAATTCCTTTAAGAATTTCACTAAATTAATATAAATAACAAATTAGGAACTTAGTAAATCAAATGAGTTATGATAAAATTAAATACGAACTAGTAAAATTTAACTTTTGAATCTGTCTCCAAATACCTCAACATATTTGCTTCAATATAGTAAGGTTGTTTGTTGAAAAAAATAAATTTAAAGATATATCTTATAGTTTTTGGAATCAAACAAATAAAATTTAAATTTTGAATCCGTCTCTAAAAACATCAAAATATTTGCTTTAATATAGTAAAGTTATTTGTTGAAAAAAAAAATTAAAGGCATCTTTTGTAGTTTTTGGAATCACCCAGGTCCTCTGTAGTCTTTAGAATCACAAGGCAGCCCTTGTACTAGAAATTATGTGATCCTATTATCTTTACCTTTATCTTTAAAATTTCAAAATAGTGGGTTCTTTCTAGATGCGAAGAAGGGCGAAATTTATTTTTGTACTCTGAAAAATTATTTATCTTTATCCTTCGTTTAAGTTTTTGAATAAATTTATTTTTTCCATTAGCTGTTGGATGATATATATAACTTTCCTCATAATGGAGAAAGGTTCCACGCAAAATACATGAATAACTTTGACCCCAATCCGTTTTAAGAATTTTTAAGTCAACTTTTTCTTTCAATATTTGTTTATTCTGCTTTTTTTCTTTCACAAGACAAAGGACCTTTAGAGGAGCATGAAATCTATTTATTGTTAATCATTATTTTACCAACGGTATTATATTTCTTGATAAACAAAGATGAGTATTAGATCCCGTTTAGATTAGCTGATTTGAAATAGATGATAAGGATTAGGTGCTGAAAAGCACTTTTAAGTTCTGAAACTGATTTAATAAATAAGCAGTTACGTGTTTGGATACAATTGCTAAAATTGATAATAAGTTGTTGCAGTATTTAATAAAAAAGTGTTGCTAAGCTCTATTTCTGTTAAAATGACTTAAATAACCTTAGAACTGTTTACACTTATAAGGGCATAATTTCTTCAAAATTTTAGATTCTAGATCGATTCAAATATAAAATATTCTATCTCATTTTATTTTAAATACAATTGTGCTTGGATAAGATAATTTTTATGATAAATATAATTTATTTTATGATAAGCATATAATCATAAGTTATAATAATTAATAAATTGACAAAAGTTTCTCAGTAAAAAATAAACCTAAATAAGACAAAATATTTGAAGAGAAACAAACACTATATTCATCACCACAACACTTAGAAAGCAATACACCAAAAATTTGATATGTCCTCATTTGTTACATACGGTTCAAATATTAATACATAATCACATAGATATAAATATGCAAAGGAATAGAGAATTTGTTTATCTTAAATAGTCAATGAGAATTGCAGACTCGATGTAGGAGTTTTGTTCTAAAAAGAAATATTTTAAGGATAAAATAGTAAAATCTTGGTCAAACTTAAAGTGCTTATAAGCTAAAAATTTATAAGCTGGGGGTGACCATCTTATGACTTTTGGCTTATTTTTGACTTATAAGCACTTAACTTTACCAAACACGCAGAAAGGCCTTCCCAGTCAGCATTCATAGAAGGGAGAAACATTTTGGATAATGTAATTCTAGCTCATGAACTGATCAAAGGATATACTTAGAAAACAGTTTCACCAAGATGTACAATTAAGGTGGACATTAGAAAGGCCTATGACTCAGTTGATTGGAGCTTCTTAAGAGATCTTATGCTAGAATTTGGAAAAATGGCCAATCTCATCATGGAATATGGAAGCACAGTTTCTTATACCCTATTGATTAATGGAGGATTAACACCTAAGTTTCATGCAAGAAAGAGGTTGAGGCAAGGAGACCCAATGTCACCTTATCTCTTTGTTTTGATGATGGAATATTTGAACAGATCATTGAAACAGCTAAAATCAAATCCAGACTTCAATTACCATCCTAAGTGTGCAAAATTGGGAGTGGTATCTGCTTTGCTGATGATTTGTTGATATGTTGCAGAGCAGATAAAGTGTCTATTCATCTTATGATGAAACAATTTGAACAATTCTCGATTGCCTCAGGTTTACAAGCAAATATGGAGAAAAGCTCACTGTATGTGGTAGGAATTTCAACTCAATATAAGAAAGAAATTCTGGAGGAGTTGCAGTTCACCACTGGAGACTTACCATTCAAATACTTAGGTGTACCATTGTCCTCTAATAAGCTCACTATTAGTCAATATATGCCATTGGTGGATAGAATTGCAGGAAGGGTGAGATGTTGGACTGCCAGATTCTTATCATACATAGAGAGAGTCCAACTAATAAAGTGTGTGATGTTTGAAATGCAAACTTACTGGGCACAAATTTTTCTGATCCCAAAAAAAGTGCATGATATGGTCACTGGAATATGTAGGAACTTTCTGTGGCATGGAGGCATTGAAGAAGGAAAGAAAGGTCCTATTGCATGGGATACAATCTGTAGACTAAAAGCAGCATGAGGGTTGAACATTATCAATTTCTCTGTATGGAATAGAGCAGCAATAGGTAAACTTCTATATGCAATCGCACAAAAGAAAGACAAACTCTGCGTCATGTGGATTCACAATCACTATATAAAGAAGAAAGAATTAGAGAACATGGATACACCTTAATAAGCTAGCTGGTTGGTGAGGAAAATCTTCGAGGCCAGAAAGTGGTTAACTGCTGGAATTCAAGAACTTAAGTTGTATGTTGTTTAGGGGAAATATACTATCAGTAAAATATATACTTCAATCATACCACAGTTCCCAAAAGTTACATGGAAGACTTTATTCATGACACAAGGCATTCTACCTCGACATCAATTCATCCTGTGGATGGCAATGCATCAGAGGCTAGCAACCGTGGATAGACTGACTAAATGGGGGATACTAGTACCTAAAAAGTGTGTTCTTTGTACAACTGATGAAGAGGAAACACACGATCACTTGTTCTTTGAATGCTCATATTCGAAGTTCATATGGCAGAACCTACTAAGTTTGTTTGGCATTAATAGACAAATAGGCAGGTGGCAGGAAGAAATTGAATGGTTGCCTACAAAAACAAAGAGCAGGATCACACAGTGGAAGATATTGGGGAGTGCTTTTGCAACAGCAGTATACCATATATGAATGGAAAGGAACCTTAGAAGATTTCAACATACAAGAAAACAGAATAGGGATATAGTTAGAGAAATTGTATTGCAATTGCATATTAAAGGAGAAAGTCACTGTAAATGGAGAGCTTTACTATATAGGATAAATAGATATCCATGTTAGTATAGAATCTAAGTTCCAGATGTGGAGCTTAAGTGATACAAAGAATATGTTATTTTTGTGAGACCCGTCTCTAGAGTTCAATGAGTAGGTAGATAAGCCGAAACGTAAATAAGCCGAAAAGTGCTTATAAGCTTGTTTGACCAGTTTATAAGCTTAGCCAAACACGCTCTTAGTGAAAAACAGTTAAGTTGTTAGTATAATAAGACAAGACATTTATTAGTTATTACCGTTTTATCTTTTTGGGGGGTTAATTAAAAATTAGGTGTCGAAAACTTTATTCTACAACGCGATACGCACTTCTTTAGCATTTTTTAAAGCTTATAATGTGATATACTAATTTTCTTGGTCAACAATACTAACAACTCGGTAAAAGACTGAAGAGAGTCATCTTCCTTTGGAACTTTCAAATGGAGTTCAATTATTTTCTCCTTTTTCTTCCTTTGGCCGAATCGTCTAAAAAGGGAACGGGGAGAAAAACAAATGATGTTTACTGGAATAGTTGAAGGATTTGAAAGCGGAGGCGGCAAGGCATTCTGTTGTTATGGTAAGTCAACAACAACAATAACGACCCAGTAAAATTTCACCAGTGGGGTCTGGGAAGGATAGAGTGTACGCATACCTTACCCCTACTCCGGAGGGGATAAAGAGGCTGTTCGGGGAGACTCTCGGCTCATAGGCACTAGATCTGTAACAACACAAACCCGAAAAATAATATCAACAACGGGAGAGACAACAAATAAATGGAAAAGCAATAACACAAATATTATGCAAAAGTGTGAAACATAACATAAATCGCTAGCAGTGCTAGATAAAACACTATCATACTCGCCGGAACAAAGAGGGAAACAGGGACAAAGAGGAAAATCTCTCGATTGCCCCTTAACCTACAACCCTAATGTTCGACATCCACACCTTCCTATCAAGAGTCATGTCCTCGAAAATCTGGAGTCGCGCCATGTCCTGTCTGATCACCTCGCCCCAATACTTTTTAGGCCCCCTCTACCTCTTCTCGTACCTGTCAAAGCCAACCTCTCACACCTCCTAACCGGGCATCTAGGCTTCTCCTATGCATGTGCCCGAACCATCTAAGTCATGCTTCCCGCATTTTGTCGTCCACCGGAGCCACGCTCACCTTCTCCCGAATATCTTTATTCCTAATCTTATCCAGCCTAGTATGCCCACACTTCTATCTCAATATCCTCATTTCTTCTACTTTCATCTTCTGGATATGTGAATTCTTCACTGACCAACATTCAGCCTCATACAACATGGCTGGTCTAACCACCGCTCTATAGAACTTACCTTTGAGTTTCGGTGGCACATTCTTGTCGCATAGGACTCCAGACGTTAACCTCCATTTCATCCACCCCACCCCAATAGGTGAGTAATATCCCTGTCGATCTCCCTATCTTCCTGGATAATTGACCCTAAGTACTTAAACCTTTCTCTATTGCGGATGACCTGTGAGTCAAGCCGCATACCCACGTCCGATTTTCCCGTCATATCACTGAACTTACTTTCCACATATTCCGTCTTAGTCCTACTCAACTGGAAACATTTAGACTCCATGGCCTGCCTCCATACCTCCAGTCTCCTATTAACGCTGCCTCGTATCTCATCAATCAGAACTATATCATCAGCGAACAATATATACCATGGCACCTCTCCTTGGATAAGGTGTGTCAGTGCGTCCATCGCCAAGGAAAATAAGAACGGCTGAGCGCCGATCCTTGGTGTAACCTTACAACCACCGAAAAAGGCTCTGAGTCACCCCTACAGTCCTAAACCGAGTCATAGCTCCATCATACATATCCTTTATCACCATAATATAAGCCACCGACACACCTTTTGCTTCCAAACATCTCCAAAGGACGTCCCTAGGGACCTTGTCATACGCCTTCTCTAGGTCAATAAACACCATATGCAAATCTCTCTTCCTATCCCTGTATTGTTCCACCGACCTCCTGATAAAGTGGATAACTTTCGTAGTAGAACGACCCGGCATGAACTCGAACTGGTTTTCCGATATGGACACCACCCTCCTTATCCTCATTCCACCACCCTCTCCAAAACTTTCATGGTATGACTTAGTAATTTGATACTCCTATAGTTGTTACAATTCTGGATATTCCCTTTGTTCTTGCACACCAGAACTATTATACTCCACCACTACTCATCATGCATCCTCTTCGTCCTGAAGATAACATTTAAACAGCTCAGTTAGCCACTCTAAGCCTGCTCTACCCGCATATCTCTAAAACTCTACTGGAATCTCGTCAGTCATGAATTTACATGCAGAAACGGATCTAAGAGTTAAATTTAATGGTTCAAATGCGGAATTGCATGGAAGGGACTTTCATTTGCTCAAGTCATCTGGGTTCAACTTGAGATTTTTCGTAGCTTTTTCCATATAAAAATACACTCTGTGTCGAAAGTTAATATGTGTTTAGTTAAACCCGTAGCCGGAAGATGATGAGCGTAAAATACAACAGAAAATTATTGCTCGCTAGTCAAAGATAGTATAGTTAAATTATCGTCTCTAAAGAGATTTGATTTAAATGATTTTCGAATAATTTTTAGTTAATTACTATCCAGGAAATTAACTTAATTGAATGATTATCAACTACGATTAACTACAAAAAATTAAGTAATTATCAACTGATCATGGAAGACAACAGTTGAGCAACAAAGAAATATCAATGGAGAAATAAAGGTAGTTGACTAGACACGTGCAAGATAATTAATTCGGGATCCAATTCTTGAATTAGTTCACTCTATAATACTGTTGATTCTCACGGATTCAACAGATAATCATATCACACTTGAAGTTAATGTTCCTCCTTCAATTAAACATTAATTTTAGTAATTAATTCAATTGAAGCACGATGAATAATTGCAACAAATAAAATGATGGTTATAGTCTAAAGAGTAACTTCTCACGAATATTTTCTATTTTCTAGTTCGATTAATAATTCAAGAGGCTCTTTTGATTACCTAGTTGAATCACGTATTTAAACTAGAGCATAAGATATAAATAAATTCAATATAAAGCCCCTCTTTCGATTAAGCAAAATAATAAATAACTTCACAATACGATTTAAAACTACATCAATTAATTCAAACAATTGTCAAGAATCGATTCGCTAATCAAATTATCAATACACCATATCTGTCAACACCCTAAAGGAAATTACTCCATAGCAATGAAAAAATTCATCTTAATAAGGTTTAAAAACATAGAAAATATCAACGCTAATGATTCGATACAAACTCACGTACTGTACCGATTGTTGGTTGAGATCTTGATGAATTCTTATGTCTTATTTCCTTCGTTGCTTCTCAAATCTTTCATAGGTCAAAAGACCCTTCAAAAATAATTTTTTTGGTGCACTTTTATCGTGTAAAACAAGGTCCGGGCGGAACTACCCTTTTCAAGCTGAAACAGGAAATAGCTCTAAGAATTTTGTACAGGCGCGACACGCCTGTGGGCATTTTTAGAGAGCAGATTCTGGCAGGCTCTTCACGTTTGCACTGCCGCGCCGCGCCTCATGGTGCTCCATGCGGCGCGGTAGTTGAATAAATATTTGTGTGCACTTTTTGATATCCGGACTTTGTACTCAACCCCCGAACGTCATCTCGGCTTAATTTCTTGGATTTTGACTCAGACTTCAAAGCTCCAACTTACTCGATTTAGCTCAAATTTATATTTTTAACTCGAAATCAATTCCTGCAAGGAATTAAATACGTAATAAGCGTAGATCACCGTCATTTAAGCTCAAACACAAGTAAAATACAATAATTAGAGTGCAAACTACAACTAAAACATGGGTTTTTAGCCTACCATCAATACCCCACACTTAAATCATTACTCGTCCTCGAGCAATCAAACTACACTTCACATAGAGACGACCTTTTCATCAAACAACTTCCCTAACTCATCATGCCAAGAATATCTAAAGCAGACTAAGCACCATATCATAACATCCTAGCCTCAAAACTCGACTCAAAAGCACCACACATTTTTCATAACCTGCTCACTTACTCTAATACTGAGGCCAAAGTCATTACCTTTCCTTTGTAAGTCATGTTCCCTCATATAAAAAATAGAGAGTAGTTCCACACATAGTAAAATTCAAGAACAAATAGGAACTCAAGATAGAAAGAATTCACTCACTCTTAGAAATAAAATTCATATGCCACAGAAGACGTACCATAGGCGCCCGTAGTGTAATACTCCACTAATTGAGCTCATTCAGTCAAAGATCAAGTAGGACTTTATTTTGGTTGTAATGTAAGCTGCGGGACGGGTAGGATACAATTTGGATAACAATGACTACACCCCCCTAAGCACTTTAATATATACAATTCACAATCTAAACCTCATACTTGTGTTGAACCAAACTCCAACCTTCACAACAAAATAATACCCAGCTCCCAATTTCTTTAAGCACAAATATAGCAAGAGCTACCACTAGCAAGGAATTTTTTGTTTTGTTTTTGCACAAAATACATACAGACACACGATTTTTTTTTCTTATTTTCTAATTTTTTTGCGAGCTATTCATTTTTTTCCTTTTCTTTTTCAATTCCCTACTAGTGGCTCTCACTTTAATTTTAACACTTTGCAACTTTCTCCTTTTGTTCTCAGTTCCACTCAAAACCCCCCGACTATACCTCAACTTAGCTTTTAACAAGCTCATAACAACTTCACGTGCTCAAAAGAGGTAAAAGGTTCAAATAGATAGTTAATTCAAACAAAAAAGGAGTCAGACTTGTAGTGTGGTTGCCAAACAAAATAGGATTATAGGCTCAAAGGGGCTAATTAGGATACACAACAATTAGGCGGGTCACAAGCATACAATTGGCTCAACAAAGAAATGCTTATATCACCTCCTAGACTGAACAAGACTTCTATTTTGCTTTGCAAACACACAAGGCAAGTTCTAGACATCAACTGACATACACAGAATATCACAAAAACCTCTCACGCACACATTGGTACATATCCCACTTAAGATCCGAACTAACCCGACTCTCTAGTCAAGGCAGTTAAGCATAGTCGAGATTAAACTAATTAAGATACTTCTTCATGAGTCATGAACTAAGATTAGGCGTCACAATTAAGGCACTTACCACTCTCAAGGCATACGCAATCAAGGAAACGTGCTCCTAACTAGCACAATGACATATACATTTTAATTTTATTCCTATAAAAAGAAAAAAACTTACTACGCCCAGTTCAAGTAAAATCCTTGAAAAAGTACTGCGACACAAAGGAAAATCAAGAGGGAATTATTACACTATCTAATAAACTAAAATAGAAATAGAAGAAGAACTAAAAGACATATTTTGGATTTTCAAATTTTTGATTTTTTTTGTATTTTTCTCGTTCGGCTTCAAATTCCTCAAGAAGTCAGTCGACGAAATCCATCATCGGGAAGAGTCGAAATTAAACAATTATAACTACTAACTATTATAGGGCGAGTAGAGTTCAAAGTTATAATTACAAGCCATATTGTCTAATAACGCAAGAAACAAATCAAACAAAGCCAAACGACAAATAGAAAACAAGACATATACAAGCAATTAGGAGCACCCCATCTAACACTTAAGAGATTGCATTGTCCCCAATGAAAAATAGTAGAAACAAGAGTGAAAATGTGACTCCCTGAGTCCCTTGGCCTAGTCATCATCAAAATCCTCAAAAGTGCGCAAGTACTCCTTATCATCAGAGGGAACAAAGTTGACGTTCTCTTCTAATGGTAGTTGTCCTCCGTCGGCCAAGCCCAACTATTGTTGAGTGATAGCAGATAGGGAATGATCCTACTGCAGCTCCTCCAAGTCAGTCTTCCCCCGAGCAACAAGAAGGCGCATATCAACAAACATCAACTGCAGTGTCTCCTCGACACGAAGCAACCTCTGGTCCACAAGGACAACAACAACATGGGGTCTATCACAACTATGAAATCAAAGGCCTTAATAGATTGCGGCACCGGGATCATCCTATCATAATGAACTCCTTTTCCACGTGGTGCGTCCGCAACAACCGAGTGATCATACTCAGGTAATATAGGCGACAAGCCCCAAATAGTCGAACTCGAGCCATATGATCAAACATGATCTTGCCAAGATCAAACTTCATCCTGTTCAGGAAGACAAAAATCAGACATACACACCCTTGGAGATATCAACATCGCTTTGGGTAGGCATAATCTTGGTATTTATCAGCCGTAGTAGAACCCTGGATGGCCACTGGAACGTGATCTTCTTCATATCTTTGTGGTACTCATTGGCATCCCGCGTACATGTGTCAAGAGAGTCAGCTCCACATAACTGTCACCAGATATCAAGAAAGTTCGGGCGACGGAGAAGCCTCATAAACAGCTTATGAGTGTGCTCCGGGAATCCCATAATCTGATTAATCACCTAAGACAAAAAGGGGATCACCTTACCTCGAACCTACACCTCGTACACAACATCCAAACTGGCCTCGGGGCTCAGTTGGCATAAACTCCTTCACCAAGTTCACGTTCACCGCATCACCGGGACGGAATAAACTTCCAAAACCCAGGGCTCAGATGTTATTGTATATCCTAGAGTATTTTCGGGCTAGCTTCCTTATCATCTATACCAACCTTAGGGTCCGGGTTCACTACAGGAACAAAGGTCTTGTGCCAATTTCTAGCATGAGCTAG